ATAATGAAGATAAATGAATACTTGAGTCATGATTTAGGATTACAGGAGCACATTTGTTCATAACTTTAATTGCAAGAACTCATTAAGAGTTGTTGTTCTTCAGATATCGATGTCATATTTGTTGTTTTGCAGATATACTTTTGCCTCTGGATCCGCCGATAACATCAAGCAGTGGATGTTCCCAGATGGAAACTTCATCCAGAACCTGTCTGGCCACAACGCCATCATCAACACTCTGGCTGTTAACTCTGATGGCGTGTTGGTGTCTGGAGGTAATAAAGAGCTGCGGTGCTGTCTTTAACTGTGCCTTTTTTGTTTGCTTGTTTTAAATCATTTTATTGAGGCTAATGTTGACCTCATTACACACAGCCGACAATGGAACTATCCACATGTGGGACTGGAGGACCGGATACAATTTCCAGCGTATCCACGCAGCCGTGCAGCCCGGATCTCTGGACAGCGAGTCGGGAATCTTCGCTTGCATGTTCGACCACTCTGAAAGCCGACTGATCACGGCAGAGGCTGACAAGACCATTAAAGTTTACAAGGAGGATGACACCGCTGTACGCTACACTGTTACACTCTACTTGTATTTCTGTGCCGATTCTTATGCAGCAGGAAATAAAATAAATAATAACCATGTTTTCTTTCCTGCAGACAGAAGAAAGCCACCCAGTCAACTGGAAACCAGAAATCCTCAAGAGAAAAAGATTCTAAAGATTTATTTGTTTTTCTTGCCACAGTAACAGCAGTGAATTTTATTTCCACCAACTTTTGTTTGCTTGTGCTTTTTCTGTCAGGCAAACTCTCAGCTTTCTCAGAAGCATGCTCTTTATTCTAAAAACCATTTGCAGTCCTCGTTGTATGATGTTAGTCCGATAAAGCAGCCGTTACGGACTGCCAGGAACCTCCCCGAGCGTTTGTTCTTGATGATAACGGCTCTCTGATAGCTCTGATCCGACTCGTCCACCAACAGAAGCCACTCTTCACCTTCAGAAGGACAGACTTCAGAGTGGACCTGCTCAAGTCAAACCCTTCAAAGGAAATGTGTTTGGAAGTTTTAGCCAAGAAAGAAAAAACTTGTATTGTTTCAGCAGAATTGGTGTTTGTACAGACATGGAAAGTTTATTATGCTCCATTTGAATAAAGACCACATTTTTCACATGCCTGCGTTTGTTCAGTTGAGGTGGGTTTTGTGTACTCACCGAGGTATCCGTGGGTGAAGGCGTTCCTGTAGTACTTACAGCCGTCACCCTTGATCTCCTCTCAGTAGCACTGATCTCCACAGGACTCGCTGAGCTCCACTGTGGTTCTGCTTTCAGCAGCTCTCTGCATTATCTGCTCGCCTGTGAGGTCAAGTTGGAACAGCAGAAATGTTAGATGAATCTAAAGTGGCTGCCACTTTGTAATTAAGTGGCTGACTATCAGTAGACTTGGGAAATGAAAGGCCTAGTAATGCTTAATATGTATTCATGCTGTGTACAACAGGATTATTCTATGAATAATTTTCCATATTTTTCTCCCAGTTAACAGTAATTGAATTGCTTTCATTAAAGCGAGTTTTTACCAGACAACCTTTCTATTGAGGGGGATTTATTATTCCTGTTGTGTAACGATGTTCAAATAAGTTTTTTATGAAAATGTGGCTCAGCTACGAAACAGTCTGGCAAATTTCTTCTGACCTCTGAAAATATCTTCACTTAGAGAACTGCTCATTGGTTATTTTCTCTTTTTGAGACCATCCTTTGGCACATGGTGTTGTTTGTTAATGTTTCCATGGCTACCTGAGTCCTGCATGTAGAGCTTGGAGAGAGAACGACAGAAGGCTCGGCCAGGTTTCTTCTTCAGACGGGCTTTTCTTGGCTCTGGCTGCTCCTCCACCTCCTTCGGAGGTTCTTCAACCGTCAGTAGGTGGCCCGCATTATACATGATCTCCTCTTCTAGAGACCTGAGACACATGTCAAAGTGCTCTTCATCCTCCTCTGCATTTCTGGGAGACGACAGCATTGATGGTTGAGAGTTCAGATGTTACAGTTAGGTGCACTTGTGATCTCTAAAATATATTTTATTTAGCTAAGATATTTTTTTCCAAGACAACATGAAATGGTGACATTGTTCCAGGAAATTCAAGGACACGTGTGACTGAAGGACGACACTTTCTAACAAATGCAGTTTCCGTCCTGCTAAAATTTCAGGTTTTAAAACGTGTGCTCCTCACCTGAAGTCCACCCACAGCAGGCCTGCAGTGATCAGTCCCAGCAACTCACTGGCCTCCCAGTTGTTTGTCAACATCACCGGCACAATGATGACCTGCCATTTTTCGGCATAGTTGAGTTCCTTCTTACAGCACTGTGATGCCTGGTAAGCCGGAGTCATAAACGGACAGATCACAGCAGCCTCTTCCACTCCTGCAGCCATGCTGAAAACGCACACAGATTTAATATGCACAACACAGTAGTGATGAAGCCCATCAGAGATTAGAACAGATGAAACCTGTTATCCACGTCACTTTGCACTCACGCGTCGTTGATGTTGCCCGTCACCCCTCCTTCGATGTCCCTGTGTCCATCCACACAGGGAGCCCCTCATCTTTCAGGTGATCGTATCTTCTTGACAAGAGGCTGATCATCCCACTGGTAGGAGAGCAAAATGTGAGACGGCGTTTTTTTGGTTTTTTAAATTTTACTTAGATTTATGAGAAAGAAAAAGTCCTGTGATGCTTTGGAGTGGGTGGTTTCTGAGTTGCTGAGCAAACTAACCCAGACAATGAGCCCCTTAGCTATGCTGCTTGTTTACTGTGATCAGATTACACCTGTTGCGCGGTTGCAGCAGGCCATGATCGCAACTACAAGCTGCAGGACAAATGAGAGGTCAGCAATGACAGTAAACTGTAAGACCAGCATTTTCCAGCCATTCCTACCATTTATTATTTATACTGAGCACAGTTTAGACTTACAACAGACAGATTGAAGTCTGTTATGAAGAAATAAGAAACGCCCTGTTTGTGTTTATGATACCATTTGCTTTAGCTATGACGGATATTATTGTAATGTTTTTCTGGTTTAAATATAATTAGTTTAGGTTTTTTATGCAACAGTGTTTTTAAAGAAGCACAAACTGCACAAACAAATTTACATTTATACAGAAATCCTTGTACATTAGTATCAGCTGCTAACAACAAACTGCACTCATGTCGTTATTATCAGGGTGGTTTCTTTCATCTTGTGTTAGTTTTATGCTTCCGTTTCAAAGAGAAAATCATAAAAAAAAGTATCTTGTTTGTGAAGTTTTAAATATTTTATGCAGAAACATTGAAATATTCAGGAAAAATTAACTATCATCATTGTAAAACTGTAAAATTGTATATAAAATAGGTTTTTGTTTTTTTTTCCCCAGTGAAGGAAGCAAGCTCCCATGCAGTAATCATCTTTTATACATTTCAGAGCTCTTGCTTGCTTTATGCTCCTGAGAGCTGTGGCAAGAATCTTCCCATTGAACATGAGATATCAATGTAAAGCCCAGGATGTCCTCTATTTGGTACAGCAGGACTTATTGGGATAGCTAAAATAAGTCAAAAGATATAGACCAAGAATAAATGTCCATTACAGAGGACATAAATGAATAGGCTGGTTCTCAGCTATTCATGGACTTTGCAAATGCACAACCCCCACACAGCCACTAGGGGGACCCCAAGCTGCAAGCTCAGCCTCATACATTTGGGAAAATATTTAAATGACCTGTTTTCATTTGGAGCCAGCTGCTCTCTTCTGTGTGTTTACTGAAACACTTGTGTGGTTAAAACTGAAATGTGGGGTATTGCCAAAGCTTGGCTGCAACGACAGGGAAGCTGTGGTGGATCATTTAAAAAAAAAAATCACCATTAGGATATCTTGTTGTGAATGAAGTCTGCATATGATGTATGACTGACAGCCTCACATCTTCACGAGGAGAATAAGGGTGGTCCAGGCTGCAGTGAAACCTGGATTGCATCAAAATGTGTTTATTTTTTAAGCATAAAATTAAGAAAAGAAGAAGAAATCTACAGAAATATGCCCATGATAAAGGAAATATTTGCTTCTGTGGAGGAGGAGCCAGAATTTGAATAAAAAAATAAAAACAAAAACAGAAAGCTGAAGTTGAAGAGGATGTATTACTCTTCTTATTGTTGTTGGGCTTTTCTTATTTGAACTTTAAAATAGATGCTATAGTTTCTTTGTATTTTAATATGGTATTTCACTTTATTTTCACCTTATGGTGTAATTTTCACACCGGTGTGGATGCCAGTTAGGTTTTGATTTGAAATAGCGGTTTCATTAATTTTATGTTCACCTGGAAAATTTTGGAGGAAAACTGTGCGAAGAAGCTTCATTATTTACTTTTATGTAGATTTTAATTGCTTGCACCAATTTTTAGGTCTTTCATCTGAATTTGAGATACATAATTATCACCATGGATCATTGGATCAGCTTAAAGAATTTAACCTCTCCACCCCCACCCTCCCAGTTATCGTGTTATAAACAGCGATCCCCAAAGAGAATCTCGCAGTGGGCCCTCAAAAAGCTAGAAACGGCCCTGATAAACTTCAGTATTTTGCTGAGAAGCTCGTGTGGATGTTACATTGAGAATCCTTAGACCTGAGGAGACATCGTCACCCCAACCCCACTAGGACTAAGTGACCGGATAGCCTTGATTTTTCCTTTCTTTTCCTTTTAAAGAGTGGTACAGTTTCTGCTTTTTACCAGCAGAGTGAGCCACCCTAACACTTATATGTTCCTTTGCTTAGACGGGAGCACTTTATTAAATCACTTCAAGCTCATACTAACCACATTACCACAAAGGGGCCTTTTAGGACACCGTTTTGGCTCAACTGGTGTGATATCCGTATTTATTCCACTTTCCACCTGACTTCTTCCACAGGTCAGCTATACTAGGCCACGTGTCAGCAAGAGGCACTGAAGGTAATCTCTCAGCCTAATTAAATCTTAAGCAATCAGGGCCACAGATGGAGCCGACCAGCGTGGGACGCGCCGCCTGCCAGGAGGAGTGTTCACGGCGCACAGTTGGTGCCAGTCAGAGGTGTCGAGTTATGTGAAGGAGCCAAAGGGGGATTTGCACTGTGCCATGGCTGATTTTTTTGTATCCAGTATCACGCAATAAGCTACTGAAGTACGGTGAAGGAGAATGACCGCTCGTAGTCGCCCTGCGCGCAAAAACGCGTTCGTCCGTTTCGGTTCGGAAAAGTGCGCTCAAACGTGAGGACAAAACTGAGGACTTCGACTCGAGAATATGCTGGCGGGCATCGACCTCAACAAACCGAGAGCTCAAAGCCACGCGTAAAGGAGGAATGGGGTGCAAGGATGCCTCAGCTTCGCTCCTTCAGACGCTCGTCCTGTCCCTGCTGTGCGCACAGTCGCTGGGACAGGTCTTCAACCTCACGCTGTCTGTTAAAGAGGGTCTTCCGGCCAGAACTATCGTTGGAGATCTGGGAGCGGGACTAAGCAGGCCGAGCACTGGTTTTTTCATCTCAGAAAGCAGAGACTCGTATGTTTTCAGAGACTTGGAAATAGACGCGGACACGGGCATCATCTCCACAGCTGTAGTCCTGGACAGAGAGAGCAGGGATAAGTATGAATTTGTGGCAGCCACTCTCACAGGTGAGATGATAAAAGTGACAATAGAGGTGAAAGATGTGAACGACCATTCTCCCGTGTTCCCCTCCGAGCAGGTTGAGCTGGAAATATCAGAACTGAGCCCACCGGGGAGTCGGTTTCAGATTGAAGGTGCTAAAGACCAGGATGAGGGCGAGTTTGGTACTCAGGGATACAGGATCACAGAGAGTGAGATGAGTGACTTATTCCACCTGGATTATCGCAGTGGACCTGAGAACCACCTCAACCTGGATCTAGTTCTTAACAGTAAGCTAGACAGAGAAGCGCAGGACTTGTACACGCTGACAATCGAGGCCTTTGATGGGGGGATCCCAGCCAGGACTGGGACTCTTCAGGTGAACATCCACATCCTGGATGAGAATGACAACCCGCCTGTGTTCAACCAGACTGAATATCACACCTCAGTGCGTGAGGATGCTCCAGTCATGTCTGCTGTGTGTCAGGTGCAGGCCACTGACTATGACCTGGGTGACAATGGCAGACTCACGTATGAGATCAACAGGAGGCAGAGCGACCCAAATGAGGTTTTCTCCATCAATGAAACCACCGGGGTGGTCTATCTCAACAAGCCGCTTGATTTTGAGACTCAGGCTTTTCATGAGTTGATCATCAGCGCGAGAGACAACGGGGTTCAGCCTGAGTACAGCAGCACTTTCGTGGGTGTCAGAGTGCTTAACATCAACGATAACAGCCCCACCATCAGTGTACTGTTTCTCAGTGACACAGGAGATGCTGTGGTGTCGGAATCAGCAGCAGTCGGGGACTACGTAGCCCGGATTTCAGTGTCGGACCCCGACCTCGAGGGGGAGAGAATCATTGTCACACTCGAGGGAGGTGATGGGAAGTTCACCCTGAAGCAGACAGATGACTTTCTGTATGCACTGTGTGTTAACTCTGAGCTGGACAGGGAGGAGAAGGATTTGTATGAGCTGAAGGTGCAGGCATCAGATTTTGGCAACCCTCCCCTGAGCAGTGAGACGGTTTTCCTCCTGAAGGTGTCGGACATGAATGACTGTTACCCAGTCTTTGAGAAGGATGCGTATCTCATAAGTATTTCTGAAGATGCTCCTCAGGGGAGTTCTCTCATCCAGTTTCAGGCTCGAGACGCAGATGAGGGTGCAAACTCAGAGGTCCGATACTCCATTCTGAAGTCCAACCAGGACAGCCTGATCGACATCGACCCGGAGTCAGGCCTGGTCGCCACAGCTGCAGCTCTGGACAGAGAGACGCAGATGGAGATATGGTTCCTGGTGGTGGCAGCGGATGGAGGAGAACCGGCTCTGTCATCCACAGCGACAGTCACGGTGCTCGTGGAAGACGTCAACGACAACGAGCCAGTGTTCGAGCAGCAGCTGTACAATGTGTCCATACTAGAGCAGAGCGATGTTGGAAGCTGCTTTTTACAAGTATGTTGGAGGATATTCAGCATCATTTTGGTGACTTATCTAAAAGAACAACACATTATTGTTTCTGAATGGTTCTAATTACATTTTCTGTCCAAGAAGGATCCACAAGATGATAATAATGATAATAATAATTGGCACTGAATCAGAAAAGCTTATTAACAAGGCAACAAATAAATTTATTTTTTTTACAATTTGGGAAGCTGACACTCATATGAAATCACATGCATATTTATTTATTTATTTACAAGAACACATCCACACACAGACCAGGGGAGCGTTTCACTTGACTTGGCACTCATCTCAGTAAAATATCAGCTAACATGGATTCACAGAAACAAAAATAAAGATATCTTTGTAGGTTCTGAAAGATTCACAGTAAATATCCAGCATCTTGTGCTCTTTTGCTGTGTCTGTCTTACATCTTATAAGACAAAAGTAGCCTTCAGTCTGTTTGCACAAAGCCGTCAGTGTTCCTCCTAAAGATGCTCAACATGCACCCTTTCCAGCTTAGCTCTGTGGCTTTAGTATGACAGATGTGCTGCCTGGTACCACACTCCAGCAGGCTGGCACAAAGTGCATCCCAACACAAAGGAACATTTGTTTAAGGGCACATTTTCTGCAAACAAGAGATTCGATGAATATATAAGGACTGAAAATTTCGAAACATCTGGCTGACTTTTAGTTGCTTAGTTCCCGATTCGAACTTTAGCTACGACGCTTCAGAATACTGAAGATGTCATCCAAAATAAATGCGAGAACTAGCAGGAGCAGAGGTAACCAGAATATCTGGGAAGTCGTCTATAAGGAACCCCCCCTCTGTCGCATGATTTTGCAAACGCAGCACATATGCTTTATTCTAAGAAGCAAGCTTCAAAAAACTGACTGGGTTTGCGTGACTGTCCAGACCTTGACCCGTGTCTTTAAACTTCCTTTGATCAGAGTTCACAAACTGGGAGGTGATATCATCTTTATGACTGTAAAATGAGCGCTCTATCTGTGAGACATGTCTGCAGTCACAGCCACAGGCAGACATGAAAGGAGCTGCACAGGATATAAGGCGCGTTTTTACTATAATCTTTATACTGCAGGGATGGTCCTCGCCCTTTGATTGTGGGGATTTTTTTATGCTTTTATTATGTTGACTCTCACTGTCAAAGGAAGACGCGTATTATGATTCATAGTACAAAGCTTAATCTAAAAGCTGGCAGTTACTGTAGTATGGGAGTGCTGTTTTACAAGGAATATTTCTTCTAATATATAAACACTTAAACATACCAAAAACTGCTAATTTTTACATAAAGTATTTGAGTAGGAGCACTTCATAATTTACTATACA